CTTGCTTCTGAAAGCTGCTCCTGGCTTCAGTTCTTAGTGAATTCAAACACAGTAAAATCCCTTCCCTGGGGACGTGGGTTTGTTCCTTTGACAAATAGCTGCTCCTGTCTCCCTGCCTCCGCATGACTCCGCTCCTGCTGACCTTGGACCTGGACCACGACCACCTTCCTCCCCCAGTGTTAAGCAAAATGGCATTTTAAACACAGGGAGATCCTTAAGCTGTAAATAACTTTCTGAAGTGAGACAAAATTAGAGTTTGTATCATCAGCAAATGTATATTTATATTCTGTGCTGGCCTCAAACCGTATTTAACTTTTAACCAGGTTCGTTATGAGAGGGCTTCTAGTGAAGATCAACCTTACAAACACAATGGGAACCAATAAAAAGGTCTTAAGACCTCTGATTTCTGAATAAATATGTGCTAAAGAAGCTAGTTTTGACAGTGTTGTTTTTAAAGTAATTAATTTTTAACCTTAACCTTTACTCAGTGTAAGACATTGTTTATTTTTCAGATGTACACATTAATTTTCAAATAAATTGGTCATACATGGCAAGCAAAATCCATGTACAATGTTAAGGTAGGCAACATCCTGGTATAATTTCCTTCTGCTTTTCTAGTATAGCTTATGCATAAGTGGTACAAAATAATTTCATACTACATTAGCTATATAAGGTATAATTACAGAAAATGAAATCACAGTTTTGATTGCCAAAGCTCAGACCAGGTGTATGTGGGATAATTGTAGTTAGAGAACACTAACTTGTCCACAAAGTGCCCTGGATTCACCAGCCATTACTTAGGATGTGTTCAAGCCTTAACCAATAGCAGCATGTGACTGGAACAGGGATTTTTGGAAGGTAACCTACTCAGATTGAAAACCTGCTCTCTGTTATGCGTGTTAGTATGCTAGGAAACAGTACGGCTGCTGATTTCACAAAAATAAGACATTAAAGAAACTGAGCAGGGCCTGATGATCTACTCTGAGTTCTGTCAGTAGATCCTGAAGCCAGGAAAGATCACAGAATGGTTGAGATTGGAAGGCGCCTCTGGAGGTCATCTGGTCCAATCCCTAGAGCTGGTTGCCCAGGACCGTGTCCAGATGGCTTCTGAATATCTCCAGGGATGGAGACTCCACCACCTCCCTGGGCAACCTGTGCCAGTGCTCAGTCACCCTCACAGTGAAAAAGTGTTTCCTGATGTTCAGAGGGAACCTCCTGTGTTTCAGTTTGTGCCCTCTGGTCCTGGGGTCCCATTTAAAAACACCTAACACACTAAGCATCATCTCTGGCTGAATGGTACTGAAATAATTCATTCACGTTTATTGCTCAGTACTGTGATCAGTGGAGGCCTGGTAGCGCTGGATAGGACTGAATACATAGGATTCAATTGCTTAAGCGCTTTAAGTAGACACTAGGAAAATGGAAATCACAGTAGAACCTAGAGAAAAAGAATGTCTTTTTACCACTGTTAAGTCATTGCACCCCACTAGTGGAAAACCAGTAAACAGCACATAAGTTCTGCAACATTAACAGTACTCCTTAGCTATTGACAGCACAGGCTCAACCACGGCAAGGTAAGCAATTACATCCCACAAATACCTATGCAATCTCATCTCCAGAAAGATACGGTAAACAACATTATCATGCCAAAATAATAAGGAAACATGTTACTGTTTGCACTTATGCTAGATCTGAGAAGGACATGCGTTTTAAAAAATGGGTATTATCAGCCTCCAGCAAGACTGGAGACTGCTTGCCTGTCACCACGAGCAGAAAGTCACACGATCAGTAGTACATGGGGATCCACTGGGATAGATGACTTTTGTATGCAAACATTTGAAAATGCTTATACTATGGAACAAAAAAAATTTGTAAAACTAGTTTTAAACCAGTAAAGTAGCGCTTTGTTAGTTTTATCAAAGCCCCACTTCTATGACTTTTAGCTTCTTTCCAACTTGCCCGCTACTACCACTTCCTAAATGGCAGTTCTAGCCAATACCTAGATTCAGGTTAACACACAATTTATAAACTGGAATGGAAATTGCTCCCTATATCCCTGACCATGGCAATAATTCCAGCTCTGACAGAGGAGCTCTCTATGCTGGGAAAGCACGTACCTCTTTCTTTCAATGTCTTCAGGGCGTTATTCCTTCAGCAGATGTGTTAAAATGGGACAAGAGACTACAAAAGTTTTAACAGAATTTAGGATGTGGGTGGTTTTGCTGTTGCATGTGTAAGCAGATGATGCACATGAGAATGTGACACATCCCACTAACCCAACATGGGGAAGGAAGAACAGTTAATGCTAAAATATATCCTTTCACTAACCTCTACTGAAAAAATAGCTCCAGTTACGCTGAAGAGTTGCAGCTAAGTTTCTAGCACTGCTCCGAAGATCTCAACCAGAATTTACTGTTTGTTGTTTCAGACTGCCACCTGACGGCGAGGAACATGCTCGTTACTCAAGTTCACCCAGATTGCTGCCCTCTATAGCTGCGGC